AAGCACACAGGCACACAGGCACACAGACGCACAGACACACAGACACACAGACAGACAGACACAACACAGGCACACAGGCACACAGACACACAGACAGACAGGCACTCAGGCACACAGGCGCACATGCACACAGGCACACAGGCACACAGGCACACAGACACACAGACACACAGACAGACAGACAGACAGACAGACAGACACAAAGACAGCCAGACACACAGGCACACAGACACACAGACAGACAGGCACTCAGGCACACAGGCACACAGGCACACAGGCACACAGGCACACGGGCACACAGACACACAGACACACAGACACACAGACAGACAGACAGACAGACAGACACACAGACAGACAGACAGACAGACACACAGGCACACAGGCACACAGACACACAGGCACACAGACACACAGACAGACAGGCACCCAGGCACACAGGCACACAGGCACACAGGCACACAGGCACACAGACACACAGACAGACAGACAGACAGACAGAACACACAGCAGACAGGAACAGGACAGACACACAGCACACAGGACACAGACAACACGGGCACACCAGACACACAGGACAGACAGGCACCCAGGCACACAGGCACACAGGCACACAGGCACACAGGCACAGTGTCACACAAGTCACACAGGCACAGAGACACACAGAAAAACAGACACACAGACAGAAGACAGACACGACACACAGGAACACACGACAGACAGACACACAGGCCACAGGCACACAGACACACAGGACAGACAGGCACTCAGGCACACAGCACACAGGCACACAGGCACAAGGCACACAGAGCACACAGACCACACAAACACACAGACGAGACAGAACGAGACAGACAGACAGGGACAGACAAACACCAGACCACACAGACCAGACAAGACACACAGGTCCATAGGCACACAGACACACGACAGACAGGCACTCAGGCACACGCACACAGGCAAACAGGCCAACCGGAACACGGCACAAAGACACACAGACACACAGCACACGACACACAGACACACAGGACAGACAGGGACAGACAGGACACCACGACACAACAGACAAGACAGACTCGGGGCACACAGGGCACCACGACACACCACCAGACAGCACTCAGGCACACAGGCACACAGGCACACAGGCACAAGGCACCCAGACACACAGGACACACAGACACACAGACAGACAGACAGACAGACGACACACAGACAGACAGACAGACACACAGACACACAGACAGACAGACACACAGGCACACAGCACACAGACACACAGACAGACAGGCACTCAGGCACACCAGGCACACACAGGCACACAGGCACACAGACACACAGACACACAGACACACAGACACACAGACAGACAGACAGACAGACACACAGACACACAGACAGACAGACACATAGGCACACAGGCACACAGACACACAGACAGACAGGCACTCAGGCAAACAGGCACACAGGCACACAGGCACACAGGCACACAGACACACAGACACACAGACACACAGACAGACAGACAGAAAGACAGACACACAGACAGACAGACAGACACACAGACACACAGACAGACAGACACACAGGCACACAGACACACAGATAGACAGGCACTCAGGCACACAGACACACAGGCACACAGGCACACAGACACACAGGCACACAGACACACAGACACACAGACACACAGACACACAGACACACAGACAGACAGACAGACAGACACACAGGCACACAGACACACAGACAGACAGACACACAGGCACACAGGCACACAGACACACAGACAGACAGGCACTCAGGCACTCAGGCACACAGGCACACAGGCACCCAGGCACACAGGCACACCAGACACACAGACACACAGACACACAGACAGGAAAGACAGACAGACAGACACACAGAACAGACGACACACACAGACACGGAGGACAGACAGAACACAGGCACACAGCAACACAGATCCACACAAACAGACAGGCACTAAGTGCACTCAGGCACACAGGCCACAGGCCACACAGGCACCAGAACACAACAGACCACACAGACACACAGACACACAGACAGACAGACAGACAGACAGGCACTCAGGCACACAGGCACACAGGCACACAGGCACACAGACACACAGACACACAAACACACAGACACACAGACACACAGACACACAGACAGACAGACACACAGGCACACAGGCACACAGACACACAGCCACACAGGCAGAGAGACAGACAGACACACAGACAGACAGGCACACAGACAGACAGACACACAGGCACACAGGCACACAGACACACAGACAGACAGGCACTCAGGCACACAGGCACACAGGCACACAGGCACACAGGCACACAGACACAGAGACACCAGACACACAGACACACAGACAGACAGACAGACACAAAGACACACAGCAAGACAGACACACAGGCACACAGGCACACAGACACCACAGACAAACAAGACACTCAGGCACACAGGCACACAGGCACACAGGCACAGAGACACACAGACACACAGACACACAGACAGACAGACACACAGACAGACAGACAGACACACAGGCACACAGGCACACAGACAGGCAGACACACAGGCACACAGGCACACAGACACACAGACAGACAGGCACTCAGGCACACAGGCACACAGGCACACAGGCACACAGGCACACAAGCACACAGGCACACAGACACACAGGCACACAGACACACAGACACACAGACAGACAGACAGAGAGACACACAGGCAGACAGACAGACAGACACACAAGCACAAAGGCACACAGACACACAGACAGACAGGCACTCAGGCACTCAGGCACACAGGCTCACAGGCACACAGGCACACAGACACACAGACACACAGACACACAGACACACAGACAGACAGACAGACAGACAGACACACAGACACACAGACACACAGACACACAGACAGACAGACACACATGCACACAGGCACACAGACACACAGACTGTCAGGCACTCAGGCACACAGGCACACAGGCACACATGCACACAGGACACACAGACACACAGACACACAGACACACAGACACACAGACACACAGACACACAGACACACAGACACACAGACACACAGACACACAGACACACAGACACACAGACACACAGACACAGTCACACAGAGTCACACAGTCACACAGTCACACAGTCACACAGTCACACAGTCACACAGTCACACAGTCACACAGTCACACAGTCACGCAGTCACACAGTCACACAGTCACACAGTCACACAGTCACACAGTCACAGTCACACAGTCACACAGTCACACAGTCACACAGTCACACAGTCACACAGTCACACAGTCACACAGTCACACAGTCACACAGTCACACAGTCACACAGTCGCATAGTCGCACAGTCACACAGTCACACAGTCACACAGTCACACAGTGACACAGTCACACACACAGTCACACACACACAGTCACACACACAGTCACACACGCACAGTCACACACACAGTCACACACACAGTCACACTCACACAGTCACACACACAGTCACACACAGTCACACACACAGTCACACACACAGTCACACACACAGTCACACATACACAGTCACACACACACTCTATGGGAAAACAATCACAAAACACACACACCAAAACACACACACAAACAAAACATACAAAAAACACAACACACACTGTGTTTTTTCCCACAGTTTTTTTTTTTTTTTTTTTTTTGTTGTTTTTTTTGTTTTGTTGTTTTTGTTTTTTTGTTGTTATTTTTTCTCCCCGTAGCAAGGATGGGCAACCTTTGCAAGGGTACCCTTACGTCCTTGCCTCCTCGGCCCATCCCTGGCCACTTTCGTTGGCCGCGCCCCGCTCGGAAAGCTTCGAAATGGGCGTCCAAGGCCCTTGCATCCTTATCGCGCATCCTTACTATGCGGGTTGACTGCAGATCTATTCGGGAAACAAGCACTGACATAGACATGCAAACTCGGAGGTCCGCGCGGATTTCTTGGGTCGGCGCCGGGGTCCGAGTTTGCATGCCTATGTAGCTATTTGTTTCCCTATCATAGGAGCCTGGTGTACCCTTTTTATTCCGTCTTCAGCGTCGACTGGCGTCGATTGGCGTCTGGGAGTCGATGGGACAGCGCCGACTTCACGCCCGTGAGCGTCGCTTTGGCGTCGCTTTGGCGCCGATTCAGCGCCGATTTGGCGTCGAGTCGCGTCGAGTCGCAAGAGCCGACAAAAGATGCCGTGGGCGGCTCCCGCGAGTTGCCACCGAATCCCCCCCGAGGATGCCCGGCTTCGCGGCCGAGGGCGCCCCCGCCAACGCCTCGTGGGACCCGCCGGCCCCCGAGGACGCGCGCGGCCCCGCGGTGCGCCGAGGCGGCGGGCAGTGCCCGCGCGCGCGCGGGGGGGCCTCCCCGCGGGCCCGCGCGGCCCCCTCGGGGGCCGCGCCTCTGGGCCGTCTTCGGGCGGCTGGTGGGCGGCTGGTGCCTCGCGGGGCTCTCGCCGAGCCTCCTCGGCCGCTTCCGCTGGCCGCGCCCCGCTCGCAGAGGGTCGACACGGCCTTCCCATTGGCCCTTGGATCCTTCGCGTGCATCCTTCTGATATACGGGTTGACTGTACCACCCGCCCGATTGGGGCTTGGGCCTGGCTGCCGCCATGCAGGCCACCCCCCACTAGCACCCGCCCGATTGGGGCCGCCGCCGCCCGGAGAGGCCTACTGCCGATCTTTCGGCGACGATGTGTCGCCGACTCCAGGCCGATGTTCCCCCCCCCCCCCAGGCCAGTCCCCCCCCTATCGTGACTCGGGGGTGGACAGACCTCCTACCCTGAGACGTCGACTAGCGAACTGGCCGTGTTCGGTCTGCGAGAGGGCGCCACGGCCGTTGTTTCTGCGGGTCCAGGTCCGTCGGTTCCGGTCCTGGGCCGTTTTTCATTACAGGGAGGCTTACGAAAGGGAGGTCTGTCCACCGCCGAGCGGCCCCTCGCTCGGGGCTCGGGCCTGGCTGCCGCCCGGAGAGGACGCGTGCGTCACCGAGACGGCGGCGTGCCCCGCCCACGGGCTGCGGGAGGTGGTGGCGGCCTACGCGCGCCGCACGGCGGGGCAGCTGTGGTCCGACCTGGAGGCCGCGCTCCGCAGGTCGGGGGGCGCGCGCGAGCGCCGAGGGGAGCAGACCTCCCAAGACAGCACTCGTTCGGCCTCCGTCCAACGGGCGAAGAGCGGCAGTTAGCGCATTGACAGACACGGCGGTCGTCGAAGGGAGGTATTCTTTCTGCACTCCCAGATCCCAATCTATCCGGGCCGCCTTCCCACTTCAGGAGGCGAGCGGTTTTCCCTCTTCCCTCCTTCAGGGTCGGGCGGGAGCCCAATCTACTTCCCACGCCTTCCCTACTTCATGCTACCAATTTCTCCCGACTGACGAGTATTTCCCAACCCTCCCTTGGTTGGGCATTCGTTTTGAATAAAGCACTCTGGTCGCGTCCTCCTCCTGCGATCAGCGAAACTGTCACCACTTTCGTGGGCTCCCGAGAGGCCCAGCGGGGCGGTGTCTTACGGGGACCACCACGAGAGCCCCGACACGCGGAAACGAGGCAAGGGCAGCGGTATCGGTACCTCTCCTTCTCTGGGTCGCACGAGTCTAGGCTTCCTGGATGGGGTCGGAGTAGATGGGGTCGGAGGATCGCGCCGCATCGACGATGCATCGGCGATGTGGCTCGATGTGGGGCCAAGTTTCCTCCACGCCGACGTTGCGGATGCATCGTCGACGTCGCCGATGCATCGTTGATGTATCGCCGAGATGGCGCGCCGATGCGGCGCGATCCTCCGACCCTATCTACTCGACCCCATGAAGGAGGTCTCTGTCGAGGCATCCTCGAAGAACGGCCCAAGTCCCAAGACCGTGCAGTCACCATGAATCTTCCCGCGGAACCCGACGGCGTGGTCGCCGCAGCGCTCGTGGGGACTTAGCCGCGACCCGCCGGGGGCAGGTCCTCGGGCAACACGAGCGAGGCGGTCTTCGACCTGCTGCTGGCCGTTCGTGCCCAAGGAGGCGGTTCGGTAGCAAATCATGGGAGCTTTGTATACCGTCGTAATTCCGTCTTTAGCGTCGATTAGCGTCTGGGAGTGGATGGGATAGCGCCGATTTAGCGTCGGTTAGCGTCGACTAGCGTCGATCTAGCGTCGATTAGCGTCGATGTAGCGTCGACTAGCGTCGATTCGAAGAGCCAGCAACATGATATGGTAGGCTCCCATGAGTTGCCACCGAAAGGCAGCGGTGCGGCGGAGCCTCCCTGAGCCATGTGAGTTGGCATCGATAGAGTCGTGTGCTGTTCCGGGGAGGCAAAGACCCCCCAGCCTCCCCGTGGCCCCAGCCGGTGAGCCCCTGGCATGGGGAGCATTTCCATTATTCGGAGGAGGACAACCGCTATAAACATAAACTTTTGGCGCTCCGCGCAGATTTCTTGGATCCGCGCTGGGCCCCCCCGCGGCGGCGCCTCCTGCACCGCCCCTGGCGAGCGCTCCGCGCGCCAGGGAGGGTGTCAGCGCGGATCCAAGAAATTTGCGTGGAGCGTCAAAAGTTTATGTTATGCCGCTGTTTTAGATGCTGCGTGTGATGCGAGTTGCCTTCTAGTTTGTTTCTGATGGAGGCTTCACGCTCAGATATTCTGTGCTGTGTATGCTCTGCGTCGTGTACCTTGTGTTCAGGTTATTCGGGGACACGTGGGTGTAGTATGATGGGTATAATTATCCGTAAGGGCTTCGCCCCCTGCCACCGGCCCCCTCTCTATCAGAATGGGATACATCAGAGCTGTATTGGGATGTTCGGGCGCCGTCTTGATGACATTCGGGAACGTCATGCTAGGGCGGCTGGCGACGAGCAAACCAGATTGAGATGTTGAAGTTGTTGTTGAACGCTTTGTTGCCTTCTTGGCATTTTCCTCCAGTTGTTCACTGGAAGCGCTCTGGGAACGGCTGGGGATTGCTTCAGGCAATCTCTGGGAAGGTTATTTTTTCTGCTCTGGAGAAGGAGTGGCGCCTTTGGGCAGCTTCCGCGAGGTGGATTCGTAGCGTGGGGGGTGCGCGCGAATTTGGTGTAATTTGCATGGGATCGTGGCCTCGGGGACGCGAATGTGGCGTAATTTGCTAGGGATCGTGGCCTGGGGGGCGTCACAGCGGCGTAATTTACGAGGGATCGTTGCCTCGGGGGCGCGAATGTGGCGTTATTCACGCGGGATCGTGGCCTCGGGGGCGCAAATGTGGCGTAACTTACGAGGGATCGTGGCCTGGGGGGGTGAATGTGGAACCCACCGCCGAATTTTCCAGAAAGGGGGGGGGGCAAAAGAATACCAGCGGAGCACATATCCCAATACAGAAAATTGCCGTTGTTCTGCTTTGGAGAGGGGGAGCGCCTTTTCGGCAGCCTCCGCAAGGCGGATTCGTGGCCCTGGGGGGCGCGCCCGCTGCGTAATTTAAAAGGGATCGTGGCGTCAGGGGCGCGAATTCGTTATAATTTACAAGGGATCGTGGCCTCGGGGGCGCGAAAATTATGTAAATTACATGGGATCGTGGCTTCGGGGGCGCGAATGTGGTGTAAATTACAAGGGAGCGTGGCCTCGAGGGCGCGAATGCGGAGTCATTTACGAGGGATCGTGGCCTCGGAGACGCAAATGTAGTGTAAATTACTAGGGATCGGGGCCTCGGATACGCAAATGTGGTGTAGTTTACGAGGGATCGTGGCCTCGGGGGCGCGAATACAATGTAATTTGCAAGGGATTATGGCTTGGGGGGCACGAAACTCCAGTATTTTTATGTGTCCCACGCCCCCCCAGAAATTCTGAGAACCCTCTCAGGGGACGCTAACCAGGGCCCTTTTCGGCTCCCCCCCCCTCGCGCGGACAGTAACAATTTACAGTAGGAAGCAGAAAGCAGTACTGTAACAATGGGAACAGGAAATTGCAACCGGTGCAGGGAGCAGCGATCTTAATCCTCGCAGCCTGATGGCCCCGCAAGGGGGCCGGCGGACTTTTTCTTTTTGATGGGAAGTAACCTTCGTGGTAGAAGTAGTGGCGCTGTTTTTTTTGTCATAGCTGTAACTTGTTACGACATAAGCGGAGAACAACACATCAATGCTCAGCAGCAAGTGAGTTGGTAACACAAACGACATGTTTGTTTCCTTCTGGCAGCATGAAGTAAAACATAACATAGGCAGTGGGTAATTAAGGGGGTCCGAGTGCTGAGTAGTGAGTTGTGAATAGTAAATGGCACGCTGTAAATAGCAGGTAAGCGGTAGTAGTCATGCAGTAGTTGTGGAGTTAGTAGTTTGAGGAGTGGTATACAGTAGCACTCGTAGGAATCAGTGGCAGTGGTAGTGGTAGAACCAGCGGCTGTGTTCCTTGAAGTGTCCGTGGTAGGGGCGATGGTGGTAGCGGTAGCGAACAAACGTGGCAGTGACAATACAGTGCCGTTTTTAATACATGCTCCGCGTGCGGATCATGTATTAAGAATGCAGGGATTCAGTATTAATAACAACGATGAGTTCATGCATACATTTATTCATAAACTAATCATGTATTAGAAATCCAATATTTTTAGAAATCCTAATTATTAAAAACTGCCCTGTACGCTTGGCAGAGGTGGTGGTAATGGCATTTGAGAGCGGGGCCGTCCGGTACAACCGCCAGGAAGGCACGCGGGAAGCACAGAATGGCTGGAAGCAAGTCTTTAGGAGGGGTGGCGCAATACATTTGAGAACAGGCACGCGCGCCTGGCCAGATCCGCGCTCTGCTGCAAGACAGAGCTATTTTTCCACCAGTCCAGCACCAGAAGCCCCCACCCCCCGTAGAAGCAGGGTGACGAGCAACACCTCGCAGTTCTGCCACTGAGAGTGCTCACCGTGAGCAAGGGAGCAAGGGCAGCCTGTTCCACCCTCACCAATTTCGGTAGCAAACCATGGAAGCCTGCTATACCCTTCTAATTCGCGTCAATCAGCGTCGATCAGCGTCTGGAGTCGATGAGATAGCGCCGATTTAGCGTCTGTTAGCGTCGATCAGCGTCGATTTAGCGTTGGTTAGCGTCGATTCAGCGTCGATTAGCGTCGATTCGCAAGAGCTGGCAAGATGGTATGGGAGGCTCCCATGAGTTGCCACCGAAAACTTTAATCCTCCTCCCAATCCGATGAGGGTCCAGGATCGAGGAGGGTCGAGAACGAGGAGAATGGAGGTTTTTGGGTGTTTGTTTGTTCCTTTCCAGGCGTCCGGAAGGCTCCGGGGGTGTGCGAGGGCCTCCGAGGGCCTCTGGATGCTTCCGGGGACCTATGTGGACTTCTGGAGATCTTTGGAGGCTTTGGGACACCCTTGACTTTGTGTGTGTGTGTGTGTGTGCATTTATTTGTTGGTTTTCTGTTTGCTTGTTTTGTTCTTGTTCTCTCTCTCTCTCTCCCTCTCTCTCTCTCTCCCTCCCTCTCTCTATCGTGAGTCGCGTTTCATTTCGGCAGTTTCCAGAGTGCATCATCCCCCACGAAGCAACCGGCCAGTGCGGGCGCATCAGCACTACGTGATAGTTTGTTTCAGTTGGCGTCATTTTCTGTCATCGTTTTTACTATCGGCTTAACCATTGAAGTGAGCATGGAGATGTGGCTGTGTGAGAAGCCAGTCCCGTGCAGAGTCTGTCTTTATTAGATTGAATGTCCCTGAGGGGGAGGCATGGGAGGGAAGTGGAGGCTTTGGGAGGCTGGGTGGAGGAACAGGAGGACAATTGAAGTGATCCCAGAGGGCGAGAGGGGGTGTAAGATGGCCCCAGAGGGTTTCCCAGAACGCGACCAAACTGGCAATTGGAATGATCCCAGAGGGCGAGAGGAGGGATGTGGAAGATGGGCCCAGAGGGCTTGCAAAGACGCCAGAAAACTGCCGAAGAGGGCTCCAAGAGGCTGCAAGAACAGGCCACAAGGGCACCCAATGGTGTGAATAATTGCGGACGACACCGAAGAGGGGTACGTAGAGGCCAGTTAGTTTTGGGGCCTCAGAAGGGCTTCCAGGGACCCCCTGGGCGCGCCCAAGACCGCTCACGACAGCACCAAAATGGAGTCCAGATTGGCGTGGATGGCCCCGAGATGCTGTCAGGGCGGCCGCAGAGAGCATCCGCATGTTCCAAGATGGCCACAAGAGCCCACGGAGATACACAGGAGCTCCAAGAGAGGTGCCAGGAACAGCCCGATAAGGACATCGTCGTCATCATCCTTTCTGTTTGAGTATGTTTTTTTGCGTGTTGGGGGTTTGTGGTGTATGAGATTCGAAGAGAGGTGGAGATGCATCCGGGACGGTCGCTAGTGGCTCGAAGGGTGGTCAAGATCAGCCCAGAAAGAGCCACGAGAGGCCCCCCAAGCCGGCCCAGCAGGCTTCCGCGGAGGTGTCCCGAGAGGGCCGGTGGCGCTCGGAGGCCGAGCGCGCGAAAGGGGCGTCGTTCTGGGGCGGAAGTGGTGGCAAGAGGGCGCCCCCTCGCCGCAGCCCGGGCCCCCCGGGCCGCAGGGAGGACCCCAGGAGGGCTTCGCCAGGGCTCTGAGGAAGGGCATGCGTACGAGGTAAAACGACGTGGAGATCGGGATAAAATCGGATCGGGACAACTCGAAATCTCTGAGAGTCGGCGGGTTTGGAGGATCTATTGGGCGCCGCGGCCGCTCCAGAGCGCTCCGGAACGCTCTGAGAGCGCTCCGGAACGCTCTGGGGCGATTTCTCCCGATCCTAGCCCTGTTTTACGAGGCGTGCGTGTGCAAGGGACCGAGGGGGAAAGAATTCGTGCAGACCAGTCGGCGGGGCTCCCACGCGCCGTGCCTGGTGGGGCGGCGGATCGCGTCGCTCCTGCCGCCGGCCCGTAGCGTGCCATCGTGGGCGTTGACGTGCGCGTTCGTGGGCCACGCGGCGCTGCTGGTCGGCGCTGCTGCGGCTGTGGGTGGCAGTCCTCATGACTGCTGCTTGGTGTCTCTTCGGAGGGTTCTCGGGGGGCTCCTGTGTAGCAGTTTTAGGAGCTCTTGGGGGCGTCCCCGGGGGCGCCTTGGATGCCTCTGGGGGCTCTCTTGGTGCCTCTTCGGGGCCTCCTGGACCCTCTTGGGGGGCTCTTGGGGCCGCTCGGGGCAGCCTGGACGCCTCTTGGGGCCGAGGGCTCGAAATGTCCGTTCGGCTTCCTCCTTCAGGGCCCCCCCCCCTCTTGGGGTCGTCCTGGGGCTCTCTGTCCGTCTTGGAAGCCTCTGAGACCGTCTTGGGGCCCTCTTGGGCCGTGGTGGGGTTCTCTTGGAGGTCTCGTAGGCCGTCTTGGAAGGATCTTAGGTGCTTCTTGGGCCGTCTTAGAGCGTCGGCGGCCGAAAAGGTGAGAACGCTGAAACCTTCAAAAACCAATGGGAAATCGTTGACTTCTGCCTTTAGGGACCTTCTTGGGAGTGTTATTGGAGGCATCCTCGGGCGTGTTGGAGGCGGTTGAGCCGTCTGGAGGCTATCTCGGGCATCCTGAACGACTTCTGGTGACTCTGGGCCCTCACAGGCCGCCTTGGGGTTCTCTTGAGACGCTCTTGAAGACCTTGAATTATGTCGGGCCTGTCCCCCTACAGGGGGATTTTCGACGAAAAATGAAAAATACCCCCCAAAGATAAAAAAAACAAGCAAAAAATAGTCCCCGCACTATTTTTTGTTGACAATTTTTTTGACCATGTTTGGGGTATTTTCTATGTTTCGTCGAACCCCCCCCCTGCAGGGGGACAGGCCCGACCTAAATCTCGAGGGCAGCCCCCCAGGAGTTCCCGGGACGGGGACCGCCCCGGAGTCGCAGGAGGTTTTTTTTTTCGATTGGGGACCCCCCGTGTCGGAGGCTGACAGACCTCCTACCCTGACACGTCGATTAGCGAATTGGCCGTTTTCGGTTCGCGAGAGGGCGTCCTGGCCGTCACTGTTGCGGGTCCAGGTCCGTCGGTTTCTGTCCTAGGCCATTTCCAGTAAAGGGAGGTTTACTGAAGGGAGGTTTGTCCACCGCCGACAGTGGCAGCGCCGCGCGTGCGAACAACAAGTATTTGTTATCACGCCTTTGGCCCTTCGGGCCGGCGAACTTTTCTTGCGTGCGATACCTTCAGGTCGAGAAAGGCTAACAAGATTTAGTGTGGGCGCAGCTTCCACTCGGCAAGAAGAGGCACCATACCGAACGGATCCGTCACAAGTTGAGCGATGTGCAGCTAGTGCAGCTCCTTGAATGCCATTCAGACATTGCAGCTGTGCGTCGATCGGGTGCAGGAGATCTCTCTCTCTTTCTCGTGTAGTGCATGCCGAACCAGAAGTGATATCAATAACCGCATCACCAGCAGCTGCATGCTGCATCCTCTGCATCATCACCATCATCATCACCATCAGCATCATCAGCATCAGCAGTGTCATCGTTAGCATTCACATCAACATCAGCGTCATCAACATGATCATCATCAACGCCAACAACAGTATAGACGTCTGAATTGCCATCAGCACCAGGGTGTATCAACACGAGCATTAGCATCACCGCCACCATCACAGCGGTCGAGCGTATTTTGTTATCGCCAGTTTTTTTGATGCGCATGAGCACTTGCCAATTCACCATCGTCATCAGCATACCATCACCGTGGCCATCCTCGATCGAGCAGCGACCGGTACAGGGTCCCCTTACCGAGGTAAAAGGAGGGTAGGATGGTGGTGTGGAATACTAGATTACCGTTGGACTGAGGGGCACGCTGCTCTAAGGGGCACATGGTTGAACTCGACTTATTTTGCTAGTTCATCATCGCCACCTGTTTGCATCGCACACCGGTACCTACAACCATGCACACCAGCATCGACATCTCAGTATCACCCTCGTCTTCGCAGTCCTCGCATCCGCTCTGTACTTGTCCTTGACATCATTTGCATGTAATCGCCATCGTCGCCAGAAGCGGCACTGTCAGTGATAGCATGTCGTAGTAAATTTGGACCCAAACTGCCTGAACAGACACTGACGGTCGCAAGTATTTGGCAGCACAGTTTGTGCGCAAGCGTTGGCTCTGTTGACACGATGTGGTTTTGAACTTCGATTGGAACATGGTGCACGGACAGAGCGCTATTCGAGTCGTTTGTGTGGAGTACCTTGACAAGGGCCTCGGCGCCTTTCAGGGTTTTTATTAGGCTTAGCGTCTGCGTAGGGGCGTGTGATGTCTTAGTCCTCACTCAGCCTCCTCCTACCAGCCTGGGGAGCCATACTTTTCTGGTTCCAGTTAACTCAGCTTCGTGCTCGTCTGTTTTTGAGCACGGAGAATACGACAGTGGATTTGCCATAGCATTGAAAGAAGGATAAAACGTCGAGTGACAAGTCACAGCAGCCCGTCGTGGCTCTTCCCGTGGCGCGAGGGCGTCACGGCCTCTGTGCCTTGCGCTGCCCTGGTGGGTGTTCGCCCCCGCCTGGAGCGCTCCTCTCTGGCGCCCTGGGGTGTCCCATGGGGGTGGCACTGGGCAGGGCGTATGATGGATCCTATTCGATGCGATTCGATTCGCCCGCTTGGGCCGCGATTCCGATTCGATTCGATCTGGTCCGATTCACTTGCGTCAGTCGGGGCCCGCTGTAACCGGACGCGGTGATCCGATTTCGATTCGATTCGGGGCGATTAGCTGGCGATCCGGTTGCGTAATTCCGTGCAGGGCGGAATGACGCGAAGCAGTGCCAATCAAAGTAATGCCAATCAATGCCAAGCAAAGCCAAGCAACACCAGCAATACCAAGCAACGCGAAGCACTGCAAACACATGTCCAGGGCAACCAAATCATGCCGAGCAACGGCAAGACATGCCAATCAATGCCAAGCAGTGCCAAGAAATACCAAGAAATACCACACAATGCTAAGCAATGCAAAAAGCAATGCTGAGCAATGCTGAGCACTGCCAAGCAGTGCCAAGCAATGCCAAGCAATGCAAGGCAACGGAAAGCAATGCCAAGTAATGGCGAGCAACGCCAGGCAATGCCGAGCAATGCTTTGCATTGAGTTGCGTTGTGTTGCTCAGAACTGCGTGGAAGTGCTTTGGAAGAAGACGCGCACTAATGAGGGGGGCCGCGCCGGGTTCAGGGGCACTGCGAGGTTGGAGCCCTCTCGATCATGTCAAGTGCGGCCCCAAGAGTATACACCACCACTATCCGTAGCCATAGCCATTTTGGCTCAAGTCGACAGGTCAGCAGGGTGCGGTCGCACATGCCAGACCCAAACAAAACACGTGTTTGGTATAGAGACGTCTGCCAAGGGGTGAGGTACGATAGATGCACGCTCGTCATGCGAGGTGGGCCATCGCTGCAGGATTCGAAGACGTCATTTTGGATGTCCCCGTGGTCGATGGAGCGCGCAATTTAATCAAGAAGCCGCTGGCGTGCTTGGCGTCGCGAGCCAAGTTCTTCCCAACAAGGAGCCCTCCGTCATATTGTCCGAATAAAGGCATCGCCGTGCGCAGCATGCTGGAGCAAGGATTTCTCTTCAATGTGATCGCCCGCGTGTTGTCCGACGTCTGCGTGGCCCCCACGGCAGAAGCAGAAACACAGGCGATTGCGACGTTGTCGTTGGAACGGCACGCAATCGCAAGTTGCGCCCACTCTTTGTCGGGCCAGCGGGGGTCTAGCAAAGAGGCAGCGGACGCCCAGTTATTCTACAGAAAGTTCCGACAGACTGCATCGAATTGGAGTGAATTCGGGATGGATGACGCGAACGCGTTTCCTATCGGCCAGTTGGGCAGTCCTACTTGTTCAATCAATTCAGTAGGTGCGCACCTGACGCCTGCAGAGCTTCTGGGCAGTTTGCAGTCGCTATCGCTGAACCGCGTTGGTTCTGATGCACTAACAGACCCCAGACTTCGCTCACATCGAGATCTGGTCAAAAACACTAGTAGCCCTTGTGCGTTCGTGGTTGCCAAGGGTCAGCAAGGCTACCGAACTGCACGGTCTGGTCACGTTGTTCTTTCTCCTGCAACGAATGTGAGAATGCCGATCAAGTTTGACAAGTATTCTGCCTCTCATGCGACCCGCCTTGCAGATTGTGACCACCGGCTCATGGCTTGCACTTTGTTGGACACGTTGAGCTCTTTGTCGGGCAAGAGGAGCATGACCCGCAGTCAGTGCAGTCATTTGTTCGTGCACATGCGTATCGGAAACGCACGGTCAGGCAGTTATCCAGCCAAAGAACCAGCGGTCGAACGCGCCTGTTCTATCAAGAAGGTCCTTCGAACACGTGATCTACGCAGGCTTGCACCAGGGCAGCGCAACGATCTGATAGAGATCTCCAAGCCGTTTGCCATCGGTCATTGCGCAACCGCGCGTGCGAACAGCGTCAGTCAATTGTTGCGTCACCGCCGTCCACAATCTTCAACTCCCCACACGCATTTTTTTGAGGGCGCTGCGTATGACAAAGTTGTTCAATTGCGCCTCCGGGAGAACCAAACGTGTACATCGAGCTGTGCATTGATGGACAGGACCGCCCTCCTCACCGTTGATCAGGTCGGCTTGCACGCGCTGGCAACTTGCGTGTTGGATTCAGGGCCAATTTCTGACACATGTTTGATTGGCCATTCGATGGGGGGTTGGGTCCTGCAGCGAGCATCCCCTCTGTTGCAAATGTCCTGCGGATGTGTACGAGGAGGGTTCTTCTTGGACAGTCGCTTGCAGTATCCTCGTTTGATTTCCGACGATGACGTCGGACTTACCCTTAGAACAAAATTTGACTTGCAGTTCCCTAGGCATGCAGGAGCCTGCTGGCTGCTTGGTTGTCAATCTACAGGATGCTTCAGGATAGCCACGCCTCATACGGAGTTGCACACGTCGGAGGATTTTTTCAGTGCAGCTCATGCGACCGTTGCGAATATGATTACGCATTTGGCATTGCTTACCGAACTTCCGAATACGAAATGCTTTGGCTCTGCCAGTCACAGCTGGGTTATGATACAATGCTTTGTTGATGCCTCTTTGGCGATTCGGCCGTGCACGAGATCATAGACTTGTGTTTTAGGACTCCCTTGTCGTCGGCCCGTTGCCAATAAGAGTTTGAAGTGTTTGACCCGTGCAATGGAGTTCCGACTGTCACCGGAAGGGACAGCAAGTTTCTATGTTGTACATGTTGTATTGGTGTTATTGTTTCGCGATGTCTCCACACACACATACATTTATATATACATATATATATATATCCACATGTATATGCACGAAAGAGCGCGCCCGCAGCGCCGGGTATACGGAAAGGCCCCCCCCAGCTTCAAGGGTCCCAGGAGGTTTCCAAACGTCCAAGGGATAACTGTGCTTATATATATATATATATAGTTGTATACATCGGCGTCACTTGCATTCTTCCACCTGCGTTATCATTCACAGCCGGAGCCATGGTCATTGAGGACGCAATTGGGTTGGCAGCAAAGTATAAGAGTTTCACAGCCAATTATGGCAAGGCACAGCGCATGTTTCACATCTGCGTGTAGGCCTGTCACGGTAGTTGGTCAGAGTCGTCGAAAAAAAGAGAGTTTACACCACCACCACCACGTCGATTCCTCCTCCCTCCTTTACCCTCCTCCTCCTCGCCTCTTTCCTGGGAGAGGGAGGGGGCGAGGGAGGTGGTGGTGGTGTATACGTGTGGGCCCCGACGCAAGACGCTGGAGGTCCTGGGATCCCTCGCCTCCCCGCCCCGCTCCTGTGGGCTCGGGGCCTCGCCTGGACCGTCACGCGCTTGCTCCCCCCCCCTCCCCCCCGCGGGGCTGGTCACGTCCAGGGCGCTTGTCCGTCTCCGCCTCCTCCTCCGATTCCCCCTCCTGGGAGTAAAACTACACCGACGCCACCTTCTTTGGCAGAGTCGTCTCGAGATTACCCCTCGCGCTCGTGTTCGATGCCGCTCCTTGCCCGCTCCAGCCGCCAGCGTCGCCTCCTGCACCCTTCCACTCCTCCTCTGCTCCTGTTCGTCGCCATGCTCGCCGTTGTGCTCGTCGCCGCTGCTCCTGCCTCTGTCGCCTCTGCCGCCTCTGTCGCCTTTGCCGCCTCTGCCTCTGCCTCTGCCGCCGCCGCCGCCGCCGTCGTCGTCGTCGTCGTCGTCGCCGCCGCCGCCGTCGTCGTCGTCGTCGTCGTCGTCGTCGTCGTCGTCGTCGTCGTCGTCGTCGTCGTCGTGGTCGTCGTCGTGTCATCGTCGTCGCCACCGCCACCGCCGCCGCCGCCGCCGCCGCCGCCGTCCTTCTCCTCCCTCCCTCCCTCCCTCCCTTCCCCCCTTCCCCCCCCGTCGCTCCCCTCCCCTCTCCCGCCCTCCCCTCCCGCCCTCTCTCCCTTCCCTCCCTTTCCCTCCCTTTCCCTCCCTTTCCCTCCCTTTCCCTCCCTTTCCCTCCCTTTCCCCCTCCCTTTCCCTCCCTTCCCTCCCTCCCTTCCCTCCCTTTCCCCCCTTTTCCCTCCCTTTCCCCCTCCCTTTCCCCCTCCCTTTCCCCCTCCCTTTCCCTCCCTTTCCCTCCCTTTCCCTTTCCCTCCCTTTTCCTCCCGCATGCCCGCACGTCGCCGGTCGCCGCCCGCACCGACGCCCGCAGCTCTACTTCGACTCGGACGGGCACATCGTCAGCGGCACGCGCTACTCGAGGGTCGCCCGCGCGCGCGCGCCGCCGCCCGTGGCGGTGGCACGCGCGGGGACGTCATCGTGCGCCCGCGGCGTGCGGTGGCGGCCCCCCAGAGCGAAGAGGGGGGGGGTCGCGCCGCGCCTCGTTTGGGCCGGGCTTCCGTGGCCGCGGGGCACGCCCAGATCAGCTGTTCGCCCCACGCTTCGCGTCATTGACCAGCGCGAGCGCCGCGAGTTGCGGCGCCTCGCCCGGCCCGGGGTGTCGGCGCCCCGGGGCGCGGCGAGTTGCGCGGGGGGCCGAAGGCTCGAAAAGGTGCCCTCTGGATTCCGTCTTGGAGCCTTCTCTTTCTCCTCGGGCCTCCTGCAGGGCTCTCTCCTGTGCCAGGACTGGGCGCGGCTGAGGTTGGCCAGGTGGACCTCGGGAGGGGTCGGGGGACAGGTTTTGAGCGGGTGGTGATTTGAGAAGGGGCGCGGACAGGGGAAAGATGGCGGGGAGGGGCGGGGGCAGGGACACGCAGGGTGTGATGGGGTGGAGGGCCAGTATGGGGCAGAGGAGGGCGGGGGGTGGGTGGGCGAGGAGGACAAGGGCGAGGAGGGAGACGAGCGGGCGAAGAGGGTGGATGGGATTAGGAGGGGGAGGGTCCGTCGGTTTGGGCACCCTGCTTCTCCCCAGTAGAGCCCCGTACCCTCTACCCTCCATTCCGCTCCTCCCTCCTTCCTCGCTCCTCCTCCTCCCTCCATTCCGCTCCTCCCTCCTTCCTCGCTCCTCCTCCTCCTCCTCCTCCTCCTCCTCCTCCTCCCTTCCTCCCTCCTCCTCTCCTCCTCCTCCTCCTCCTCCTCCTCCTCCTCCTCCTCCTCCTCCTCTCCTCCTCCTCCTCCCTCCCTCCCTCCCTCCCTCCTCCCTCCCTCCCCTCCTGCCTCGTCCCCCTTCTCCCCTCCCTCCTCCTCCTCCTCCTCCTCCTCCTCCTCCTCTTTCTCCTCCTCCTCCTCCTCCTCCTCCTCCTCCTCCTCCTCTTCCTCCTCCTCCTCAGCCACGTTGGCCCTGGCTCGCATCGTTAGGCGGCCCCGCCGCTCGCTGCGCGCCATGTCGCTGTGCGCGACGCGTCGCGGGGCCGTGCAGGCGACCCGCGGCACCCTGGTGGCGGCGCACGCCGCCGCGGGCCTCTGCGTTGGCGAGAGCCGCGAGGCTCTCCGCCTGGTGCGGGCGGCCGAAGGGCTCCTGCGGGCGGCGGCGGCGGTGCTCGGCACGCCCGCGCCCGCGGCAGGCGGTGGCGATGGCGCCACGGCGCAGCCTGGTGATCCCCCGAATGCAGCCGCGCCTCTGCGCCCTCGGCGGGGGCGGCGGCGGCGTCGGGCCCAGGCTCGTTCTCGACGACCTGAAGGCGGAACCCAGGACATGCACGTGGACGGCCACACCCCTGCGCTGCTCGACGGTGGCCCTGCTGGGGCGAGCGCGGGTACTCCCGCTGGCGAGGACGCCATGTCGGAGGACGCCTCGCTCGATGACAGCTGAGCCGACGGCCTGCGGCGCGCGCCTGCGGGCGCGGCGGCCGCGGGGCAGGGACAAGGACATCATTTGCCTCCCCGTCGACGCGGCTGGCGGCGCTGGCGGCGCCGCCCTGGAGGCGCCCGAGGCGGTGGGTGAGGCGGCGGCTGACGCTCCCTCGGCCGCCCAGGCGGTCCTGGCCGCGGCCGAGGCCGCCCGCGTCCGCCTCCCCGATGGGCGTGAGGGCACGCTCTACTGCGCTGGCGACGGCGGCCCCATCGTGCCCGAGGACGGCCAGGTGCTCGTCCTCTGCGGTGGCGGCCGCCAGGCGGCGACCTCGTCGGCCTGGAGCTGGCGCCGGCCGCGGGCGCCTCCGGAGCCGGGAGGGGTCGCAGCGGGAGACGGTGAGGGCCTGGCCGTTTCGCGGCGGGCCCGCCGTCCCTCCCCCCTTCCTGCACATGGTGTTGCTCGTCGACGTGTGTGAGCCCGACGGCACGGCCGGGGACCTGGCACCTCAGGTGGTGACCAGGTCCCCGCGGTCGCGCCCGCTCGGCGGGCGCGCTCAGTCGCGCGCGACTCTTCCCCTCGGGGCTGTCCTACCTCCTCCTCCTCCTCCTCCTCCTCCTCCTCCTCCTCCTCCTCCTCCTCCTCCTCCTCTTCCTCTTCCTCTTCCTCCCTCCCGCAGGTCTCGGCTTGTTTCTATGTGCCCGCAGGTTTATCCAGGCTGTCTCGTCGTGTGCCGCCCCCCTTCGGCCTCACCAGTCGACGGCATCCTCGCGCCCTGCGTTTCGCTCCTGTGCAGTGCGTGAGCCAGGTCTCTGTGCGACTGTTTCGGAGCCGTCTGCTTCCTGGCATTTGCGTTCCCTCGTCGTGGGTCTTAGTCCCGCCCTGATGGCTTCTCTCGCTGTCTGTGATTGTACGTCGTTGGCTGTTGTGCCT